GATGTTGTGGATGAGTGATCTCCGCCCTCTGGCCGTGTGTGTTTTTTTTTTTTTTTTTTTTTTTTTTGTTTGGGAGCGTTGCATTTCTTAGTGGCTAACTGATAAAAGTATTTCTAAAACATGTACGAAAGAATCAAAACATCACATCAGGAATGATTGATAACAGTATAACATTATATAAACCTTTAAGATGTGGATCTAAGAGAGATTTTCTGTCATACTGACAAACTAGTATTATAATTTAGAGCCTAAAGCTTCAGAATTTGTTTGTTGTGAGTCATAAGTAACATTATTTATCTTATTAAAGTTTATGGGAGTATATTAGTTACAAAACAACAGCATAGAAAAATCAAGGACACAAAAATAAAAAAAATTGTTACAATCTAAAAATGAGTCTGCATTAGGTGGCTTACAGACGTCGACAGGTTGTGACGTCATCAGGTCCAGGTCAGAGAAGGAGTGGTAAAATATATTAAAAATAAAAGTTCATAACACTTGTAACATATTAGCTAACAATTACTGTGCTCCCAACAGCGATATGATTATCAGTGCCCCTGACCCGATAACACCGTGGTAATATTCTCATCGTTTGTTGTCCAGTTTTAGCTGAATGTTCTTCACTTTGCATTCAGAGTTGCACTTTAAATCTGTTTGAATGGATCAAAAAGCTCATTACGTTTTAAACTTTCAGAAAAAGACATTTTGACATGGATTTAAATAAATAGTTCATCACAACACCCTCAGGGTCATAAACATTACATTTAAATAGTAAAAGTAGTTGAATAACACGTTTTTGCAGCTCAATCTAAAAACAATAACAGGCTTTGTCTTGACCACACTGTTGCTTTGTATTCATAGTTAAAATTTATTTTTTCTTCTTCGCTCTTTCTGTTATCTACTCGTGCAATGTGTAAAAGATTTCTTGTGTTTACACTGGAACTGATCAGCTTTTCATTCTAAGTCAGAAACTGTCTGTGAGAAATGTGTGTAAGCAGACGTGATGTTTTTTGTGTGTGAAGTGGTTCAGGGTCCAGTAACAGCCCTCTGGGCAGCATCCAGCTGACCATCCGGTACAGCACGCAGAGGAACAGGCTCATCGTGGTCGTTCATGCCTGCAGGTCGGCGGCCGTCAGAATAATCACTTTCTGTCAGAAAACTCTGTTTTTTAGACTCTTTTTGTTGACTCCTGCAGAAACCTGATCGCTTTCACCGATCACGGCTCAAACCCGTACGCCCGTCTCTACCTGCTTCCTGACAAAAGGAGGTCGGGACGGAGGAAAACTCACACGCACAAGAAAACACAGAATCCGAAATTCGACGAATCGTAAGTCAAACGGTTGAAGCTCATTTCGTTTTCGTGCCTGGCTGCGTTGTGGCTGATGGAAAGTTCGTTTCTCCTCCCTGATCAGGTTTGACTTCTCTGTTACCTTGATCGAGCTCCGTAGTCGCAATTTGGATGTTGCAGTGAAGAACAGCGGAGGTCTGCTCTCCAAACATAAAGGTCTTCTTGGAAAGGTGCTTTCTAATTATAAGTTTATCATATAGTTGCTTAAAGAGGTCTTAAAATGTGTGAATTAGTTTCCTGGCTGTGGGAAAATCTGCATAGGTTAGTGTCTGCATGTCTGTTGGCTTGAAATATTTCTTAATCAATTCAATCTTTTTTTTTTCCGAATCAGGTCTTGCTGGATTTAAATCATGAAGATATAACCAAAGGTTGGACACAATGGTATGTTTTTTTTCTAATGTTTTAAAACTTTTATTTCATCTCCTACTAGTAGCCCACATTTTTTTACACAACTCTGTCTGCAGTTTTCATACCACAGTTTTATTTTGCCCTGAAAATTAAATTCAGCTACTGCTAGAGATGGGAAGCCTCAGAAACCAATTATGCACATTTACATTTGTTAAAATCTTAATTTTTATGTTCAGAGAGATTTTTTTAAGCCACCTTTAATTTGGTTTGAATTGACAACAAAACTTCACAAAACTGTTGAACTTTTACGGATATTTCTGTCCTTAAACAGCAATGAATGATTTTCTTGATGGATTTTTGTGCTTGAACAACACATGGCTGCACGTAATTTTGCAGTAAAAGGAAACTAATACAACATCTTCACTAATAAATATCTCTGCAAAGGCCCCCAGTAGTTCACTTTCCTCTTATTTCTATGCTTTTAACAATTACAATCATATAAATAAGGGGCTGGAGTTCTGACTCCCTCAGCCTGTTGGGTCACATCCTGTTCGTTTCTTAGTACGTCTCAGTCTAACTTAAATCACTAAACTCTGCATGAGGTAAAATTCAAAATGCTCACTTCTAAACTTTACTAAATGTCTTTTTGCTGCAGGTATGACCTGACTGTCGAGGGAAAACCTCGACCATAAGAAGTCTTCATCATCATCATCACACTTCCACTTACGTCCACAGTACATTTTTTAGTTATTCTCGCGCCTTTTAAATGTGTAAAAGCTAAGAGAAAAGCAGCTTTAGACACTCATTAATCACATCAGTCGCAAGGCAAGGCTTCCCTTTAAGAAGTGAGTAAAGAATTGCAGAAGAGTAAAAAGAGTGTATACAAGTTAATGTGCCAAGATGGAAGTTTTATCCCGTATTTATAGAAGCTAGAACGGTTCATTTTCTGCTGCCACATACACTATATATGTATGTTTGTATATAGTGTAAAATGATGTTGGACAAACTAAAAGACGGTTTATATTCTGCACATATTAGAGAGGCTGGTGTCTTAATGGCCAAAGGTTTGTGTGTAATTTAATCTGATTTTCTTATTTTTTTATTTCATCCAAACATTCTTGATGGTTGTTGAAGGGGAGAGTGTGTGTGTGTGTGTGTGTGGGGGGCAGTCAAACCAAAGATATGAGAAGTATTTTATTGCTTTAGTTCAGATAACACAACTACACACTGGCTTTTTATAACTGTCATAAAAAATAAACACGGGTGAAAGAACCAAAGAAGAAGAAATTCACTCACAAAGTTGCTAATGGGGTTTGTTTGCTGTGCAGAAACAGTCTTGTTACGATGAAATAAGACCATTACCAAGTGTTACCTTTTTGTAATTGAATGTGACTCTTTGCACATGAATATTTTAAAACCTGATAACAATCATTAGTATTGAGTGTCAACATTACATCTAGAGCAGTGGATGGAAAAGCCATAAAATCGTTACGTTTTAGAGATGATTGTTGTTAAAGGGAAATCTTTCCATTCAGATCAAGCCTGTTGAAATGGGACGTTATTTTATAATAGACCAACAATAGGACTGGTCTATATTTGATCATACAGGCTAAAATAGCTAAACATGCTGCTGCAGTTTTTGTTTTTAGCATGTTTAGACAATTGCAATGTGTTGGCTGCAGGTATTACCTTCAATTTCTTCATTGTAACACTATGTGTAGATTTAGCAGGTTTCCCTACATGCATCCTATTAAAGCAAAATATGCATCATCAGTTACTTTAATTTTCTGATTTTGAATAGTCACAGCTAAAGTTTTTAAAATTTTCAATTAAATATCACATTAAAATTGAGTGTTTCTAACAATTTTTTTTGCCAAATCACATTGTGAGTTTGTGATTTGGCAAAAATCCTGACGGAGACGTTGGGCTCCTTCAGAAGTAAAAAAATAAACAAAACAAAAAAGGAACATTAGTAAACAGTTTGTACTGAAATGTTCATCCTGAGTGTCTTAAAAAGGGAAATCTTGGAAAAGTGTCTAATTTTGAAACGAACATTTTGTAGGATTTAATGCTTTCATGGAAACTAAAATACGGTTGGTCATTTTGAACTGGTCCAGATTAAAATTTATTTTTTTCAAAATTCATTTTTAAAAAGTTTCACATAAACACAGCATCACTTTGTATTGATCTACATGAAAACACATGGTGCATTCAAAACACTGTAGTAACCATTGCATGCCAAGCCTGCAGGTGGCGCTGTAGTGCTGTAAATGTTAATGCACCAAAAAGTCATAAAGATGCACCTGGGATTAAAGGGTTAATTTAGCAGTGGGGTTTGTGGACGTTCTGGTTTCACATTTTTGCAGTTAAACACACGTGGAGAAACTCAACACATAATTCTGCATTTTATTTATTTATTTTATTGCCAGTGTTGCCCTTTTCATCCATCTGACTTGCAGTGCGCAGCAGCACGTTGGGGAGGTACATGCTGCTCTGACTCCGATCCGGTTCCACTCCTGCTTCCAGAATAAAACCAGTTCATTTGGACTGGAAACAGGATGGAGACTCTTTGGAAGATCTACTTGACGTTTTCATTCCTGATTAAATCTACATAGTGACTTTAAAAACGTAAAATGTCTCAATTTGGAACCATTTTAACCTTCATAACACTCACAGCGGGCCTGGTTGTCACTTACTTTACGATAAGCTCTGTTGTCAGTACTTTGATTTGTTCACATTCTGTCTATAGAAACATTCAGTCTTAACTTTTTATTTTTCACGTTGTATTTAAAAGGACACTCAGAAGATGGCATTTAATTATTATTTTTTTCTATATATGCATTTTATTGAGCAGCTCTGCTTCTTAAGGGAATAGTCTGAGCAGCAGCATAATGCAGGTCTTGGTATGAAACTCTTTAGCTAAATCTGCTGCTGGGTTTGACACTACAGAAGCAGCGGTTTTCTGTTGACAACCAGGATGTTAGCTTGACCTTTGACCTTCTAAACACCTACATCCTGTCGATTTCTGCATGTTGCGTTTACATCAAGCATTGAGAAAGTATTTTAAATGTGTATATGAATAGTTTTGTGTGTTTTCCAGCCTTTGTCCTGTTCTGTTTTATAAGAAGCGTTACGTTCTCCTGGAAGCTGTCAGCTTTGAAAAGCCTCTGAGGCCGACGTTGTCTTCTAAAGGTCGTTCTTCTCCTCCATCTTTTTAATTTATCTTGTGCCTTACGAAACGCGTGACCCAGAGATAATACTGTATGTATACGTGTTGGGAAAGAGGCGGCCGGATGCCACGCGTGTCTGAATGTCTCTTTGACGTCTTTCAAACTCAATAAAGAGCTTTAAGCTGGCAGAAGCAGCACAACCCTGGTACATCTGTTGTTTTTTTATATATTTTATGCAAAAATTGTCTGTAAACACCAACTACATTAGTTTGATTTTACTTTCTTTTTCTCCCTGTTCTTTTTCTGTTGCCTATGTCCTTATTTTGTGTATTCCTGTTCTTTACCTTGTTAGGCACTTTGTTGTGTTTTTAAAGCAGTCGGAGCTGATGCAGATGGACACTGTTTGTAATTCTTTTAGGAATCAGATTGTCAAAAGACGATCTTAAACGAATGTATTTTCCTTTCTATTAGCCACATTGTTCATTTAATTTTTGTTTTGTTTTGTTTTCATTATAATATGTCGGGCCACAAACGACGGACTGAGGGCTTTGACCCAAAACATTTAGAAACCATAAAAAAAATAAAAATTCTTAAGGCAAATCTTTTGGATACAGAATAACTTTAAATAAGACGAGTGAACGACTTCCTTTGGTGGTGACTGGAAAACTGGCAGAGTTTTTAGTGTGACTTATTTCCTAAAGTGGAATTACTATTTCAGAAGCGGAAGAAACACAGTATGCTTTACAGTCAGATTCATACTTATTTATGTTTTATTCGTATTATTTTAAAGCCATTACAATAATAAAGAATCTGATGTGGATGTATAAAGTGTGATAAATATCACAAAAAGCGAGGCAACAAATTTACCCATCTGCCAGAGTAAAAAGTTTTAGCAGAAACGACAGACTTTAAAATGCAGTTTCTACAAATATGTCACCAGTAAAGCCAGCTTTGTCGTTGCTGAAGTTGACTGATGTGTTGTTAGGTGCAGGGAGGGACATTGAGGCAGTCTTCAAGTTCATACTTCTTCCCTCCGTCAGGAACCGCGCCACAGTCGGCCTTTGGCTTTCCATGGAAATGTGCTGGTTCCCGCTGACGACCAATAGTTTGACTGAAAACACATTTTTTATTTTTTAGTAAAACCTGTTTTGCAGGGAATGTAGACTCTTACCATCTAGATTAAAACATACCTGTACTCGCTGTAGTCAGGTTTACAGATTAGGAACCTCCTACGTTTAGACGAGGCTCCGCAGGCCGGTTTGCATAAACTCCAAGGCTCCCAGCCGTCCCAGGTTCCTTTCACTGTAACACACAGTGTCGGTTTGTAAAGCTGTTCCAGAAACTAAAGGGACAGTTTTATGTATGTTCCAGACACATGGTGCCAAACTGTTAAGTTCGGTTGTTAAATAAATGTTGTATATTTCAAATGTGACTTAAGACATTTTAATTTAATGTTTTGAAATTGAGCCTCTGTCGCTTTAAAAACTCCGGCTCTTTCTGAAGCTCCGCCTTCAGGAGGTCGTCACAGCATTGCTCCTCTATTAACCCTTTAATAACTTTTGTTTATTTCTTTTAACCAGCGTTCCTCTCACATTACGAGCTTTTCTGCTGTGCAGTTTCACCAGGGTGTGAGAATTACTGCTGGCTAGTCTGAAGGAGCTGAGTGGGGCGTTGTGGAGGACGGCTGCTCTGTGAGGCGCAGGCTCGGAAACTTGAACACTGTAGTTCTGAGGAGGAGCTGCGTCTTAAAGGCGGGGCTAGGTCCACCCAGCTGTTTTGCACAAATGAATGGTTACCGTGGCGATGAAAGGATTTCTCAAACATGCAAGAAATTGCGTAACATGTTGTAAAACAATTGGTTTTCAGACAGGTGCAGGCATTAAATATGTATAAAAATATATAAATAACTTCAAGTAACTATTTGCATTGAATTTGTGCCTCACATGATTGAGCTAGCTGTCAATCAATCTAATAGAAAAAGGCAGGAGAGGGTTAAAAGATGTCTGCACTCACCATAGCAGTTTTCAACGTTGTAGCAGACCTGAGTGTCTGTCAACTTTCCGTCGGTGCAGATGGAGCCGTTGTGAGCTCGATGCAGGCAGGAGCGGCTCCGAGTCTGCTTGCCCCCTGTTTTCAGGCACCGGATATCTCTCCCTCCCCAGGCGTACGTACAGGCACTCCAGGGGGACCACTCGGCCCACACGCCGTCCACTGCAAACCAACACAGTTTTACATTGATAAGTGATATTTTTCTTCATTTGATTTCAATATTTAATGTTATGGTGTGTTTAGATGTTTGGGACCTTTACAGTCCAGCCTTTTAAGGCATTACTCTTTAAAATTCTCACAGTTGTACATTTGTTCGGGTCAATTTGAAGAGAACAGCACCAAAAGTCCAGCTATTATTAAGTAAGTCACATCTGCTTACTTTCAGACGGATCATATGAGTGGCACCAGAAATGTGAGAAACTTTCTGGAGAAACAACAAAATGAACCTGAAGTTCTTGAACCTGCTGTACCTGGGCAGTGGACTTGTGTTGAGCACAGTTTGGTTTGCTTGTCGTTTCCAGGACATGGACGGCCACCATGATCGGGAGCAGGATTGTTGCATCTCCTCTCCGAGACCTGAAGAGCCACGCCACATGTAACAGGGCATGGAGTGAAGGCTGACCAAGGACCCCAGTTGCCATCCACTGAAAAAGACAGATTTATGAATGGGCATAATATATTCTCAATTGTCTCTGTGTGGACCATTGGGAGTCTTGGAGTTTAATTTAAAACCTTAGTGCTTTAAGCAGCTCACATTCATCCATCTTCTATAGCAGAGGTGTCAAACTCAATTTCACCGAGGGCCACTTCAGCATATTGGCCCCCCTCAA